TGCTCCCGAGCCCAGGCAGCCCAGCAGACACAGTGGAGGGAGAACTTGTCACAAATGCACCGAGCAGTCATGGAACGGGAGGAGAGGTGGCGTCAGGAGGACCAACAGGCTACTGAAAAGCTGCTTGGACTAATGAGGGAGCAAACGGACACGCTCCGGCGCCTTGTGGATGTTCTGCAAGACCGGAGGCAGGAGGACAGAGCCCCGCTGCAGTCTATCTGTAACCGCCCTCACCCGCCACCAAGTCCCACACCACCCTCACCCAAAGTCCAAAGAAGGAGGGGCGGCAAGGGCCGTTAAAACTTTCTGTCAACCCCTGCAGACTGCTCTAGCACTAGAAGGCTGACATTCCCCAAAATTTCATGAGTCCTTTCCTACCCACCTCACACAAGCCCCCGTCAAAGTTTCACCACCCACGTTTCATGTCTGGTTCGCAATAAATTGTTTGTTTCTGTTCATTACTGTTTCAGTCAGGTTCTTTTGAGGGAGAATCTGTCTGGAGGGGGGCAAGGGGCTTGGTAATTGGACAGGACAGTGACCTTTAGCAGGGTACAGAGGCGGTGTCAGGTCCAGCATCAGGACACATACACAGTGCAGTCACTAGTTACCCTGGTCAGTCTTGGAGGTGTTTTTATTGTTCTGGGGGGGGGGGGGTTGCTCTGTGACTTTGTGGCGGGGGAGGGCAGTTACAGATCTTATGCAGCGGTCCTTATCCTGGCTCACAGATCCACGCAGCAGGGGATATGTAACCCTACCCCCCCTGCCAGAAAGTCACATAGCCGACACATACACGCAGTCCCCCCCAGGAGTGCTGGCAGGCTCCATTGAAATAACCAGTGCACCAGTGCGGAGCCTGTCATTCCGGGAGTTTAGAAGCATCATTTGCATCAGAACACTAAACCCGCTCCCCGCCACAGTCTGCGTCCCCGGTTTAAAATATTCCCGCGAAAAAAGCAATACAGACAACGGTGTTAATTAACAAAATAGAAATGATTTTATTTTTTGGGAAGGGGAAGGGGGTGAAGGGGGTATGTAACTGGAGAGGATAGCGGTCCTTATCCTGGATCACAGAGACACGCAGCAGGGGGTCTGTAACCATCCTCCCCCTGCCACAAAGTCACATAACCCCCACACACAGAGTCTCGAACAGGAAGGGTGGCAGGCTCCGTTGAAACAACCAGTCCACCAGTGCGGAGCCTGTCATTCCTCGAGTTTAGAAGCGTCCTTTGCATCACTACACTACACCCGCTCCCCACCACAGTCTGCGTCCCAGTTTCAACACTTTACCGCGAAAACAGTAATAAAGACAACTGTGTTCATTAACAAATTGCCAGTGATTTTATTTTTAAATGTGTTTTGGAAGGGGGGGAACGGGGTGAACGGGGTATGTAACTGGAGAGGATAGTGAACATTCACTGGGTAAAGAAACGGGGGCAGGTTCAGCTTTTCTGTCCACAAACTGAAAAGTCTCTGGTTGCCCTGCTCACTCAGGAACCTAGCTTTCAAAGCTTCCCGGATGCACAGGGCGTCCCGCTGGGATCTTCTAATCGCCCGGCTGTCTGGCTGGGCGTAATCAGCAGCCAGGCTATTAGCCTCAACCTCCCACCCCGCCATAAAGGTCTCCCCCTTGCTCTCACACAGATTGTGGAGCACACAGCAAGCTGCAATAACGATGGGGATATTGGTTTCACTGAGATCACAGCGAGTGAGTAAGCTTCTCCATCTCCCTTTGAGACGGCCAAAAGCACACTCCACCACCATTCTGCACTTGCTCAGCCGGTAGTTGAACAGTTCTTTTTCTGTGTCCAGGGCGCCAGTATAGGGCTTCATGAGCCAGGGCATTAGCGGGTAGGCTGGGTCCCCGAGGATGACTGTAGGCATCTCCACATCCCCAAGAGTTATTTTGTGGTCTGGGAAGTAAATACCTTCCTGCAGCCGTCTAAACAGACCAGAGTTCCTGAACACGTGAGCGTCATGAACCTTGCCCGGCCATCCGACGTAGATGTTTGTAAACCGTCCCCGATGGTCCACCAGTGCTTGCAGCACCATTGAAAAGTAGCCCTTTCTATTGATGTACTGGCTGGCCTGGTAGTCCGGTCCCAGGATAGGGATGTGAGTCCCATCGATAGCCCCACCGCAGTTTGGGAATCCCATTGTGGCAAAGCCATCTATGATGACCTGCGCGTTTCCCAGGGTCACTACCTTTGACAGCAGTACCTTCACGATTGCGTTGGCTACTTGCATGACAACAACCCCCACGGTAGATTTGCCCACACCAAAGTGGTTCGCGACTGACCGGTAGCTGTCCGGCGTTGCAAGCTTCCAGAGGGCTATGGCCACTCGCTTCTGGACAGTCAGGGCTGCTCGCATGCGGGTGTCCTTGCGCTTCAGGGCAGGGGACAGCAACTCACAAAGTTCGAGGAAAGTCCCCTTCCGCATGCGAAAGTTTCGCAGCCACTGGGATTCATCCCAGACCTGAAGCACTATACGGTCCCACCAGTCCATGCTTTGTTTCCCGGGCCCAGAATCGCCGTTCCACGATATCCACATGACCCATTGCCACCATGATGTCCTGGGCGCTGGGGCTCGTGGTTTCTGACAGCTCTGTGCTACTCTCTGACTTCAGGCCATCACGGCGGTGTCGTAGCCTCCTCGCCTGATTACTCTTCATCTGCCTCAGGGAAAGGTGTATGATAAGCTGTGAGGTGTTGAGAACGGCCAGAAGTGCAGCGATGGTCGCGGCGTGATCCATGATCGCAGTGCTGTGGCGTCCGCGCTCTCACTGACCAGAAAAGTGCGCGAACTGATTTCCCGCCGGCGCTTTCATGGAGGGAGGGAGGGCGTTTGTGACGGACGGATGACGACACATTTTTTTTACCCAGAAGGCATTGGCGGCTCGACCCAGAATTCCGATGGGCAGCGGGGACTGCGGGAACTGTGGGATAGCTGCCCACAGTGCACCGCTTCCAATGTCGACGCTTTCCCCGTTAGTGTGGACTCACAAAGTCGAATTACTGTCCTTAGTGTGGACACACACGTTCGACTTTGCAATATCGATTACACATATTCGATTTAAGTAAAATCGAACTACCCTCGTAGTGTAGACATACCCTAAGATGCTGACGAACTTCTTAGCAGAGCACAAAACTATTTCTGTCAGTGGCTGCATTGCCCAGATGTTCTTTATCATCATCCTCTCAGCTGGTACTGAAATTTTCATTCTCTCAGCCATGGGATATGACCTCTGTGCTGACATCTGTGACCCATTTCATTACATGGAGACAATGAACAAAGGGATCTGTGTTCAGCTAGTGACTGATGCATGGACAATCGGCTTCTTAGATGCCATGATTAATGCTGTTTTTGCCCTCAAGTTGCATTTCTGTGGGCCCAATCAAATCAGCCATTTCAGCTGTGAGCTCCCTCCTCTATTGAAAATGTCCTGCACCACCACCTTCACTAATCAAATGGTGCTGCTTACATTTGTGGTAATACTTGGATCAAGCTGCTTCTTCCTAACCCTGATCTCATACAGTCACATCATCTCCACCATCCTGAGGATACGCTCTGCGGAGGGCAGGCATAAAACCTTCTCCACCTGCAGCTCCCACCTGATTGTGGTTGGTGTATTCTACCTGACAGCTTCTTTCAGGTACACAAAACCCAGCCCAGTCTCCTCCGTGGCTCTGGATAAAATGTTCTCTGTCCAGTACAGCATCTTGACCACCATGTTAAACCCCATCATCTACAGCTTGAAAAACAGAGAGGTGAAAAGAGCTGTAGGGAAAATGTTGGGGAAATACAAGTTTCTCAAGTACTATTGGTGATTTTATGTTTTAAGCAGAGACTATAGAATTGTAGATAGCTAGTGTTTTGGGGATTCTGGGCTCAGGTCTCAGGCTTACACTTTGGGACAAATCCTTTGTTGGTCTAAATCAGTGTGGCTCCTTTAACTTCAGTAGGTCACATCCCCAGTGGTACAAGAGTCACTGGATCTAGGGGGAACTGGATTCTTGTTCTCCTGCATCCAGAGTGAATACTAGAAGCACCAGGCTGAAGAGTCATTCACATATTCCTCTCTCTTTCTCTATTTAATCTGGCCCACTGTCTTCAATGGAACCATAGCCAATTTCGAAAAAGATGGGGATCTGGTCAATTTTCTAAAAATAATCTCTTTGTCTATTAATTGCATTTGTCAGACTAATTTGTTGAGAACCCTATTTTATATTGGTATTATCTTTATGAATTCATCCATAATAAAATCGCTAGAGTTTTTAATAATATTGATTAAAAATAGTGGAGTCAATGGCTCATTTCACAAAGGGGGACTGAGGCATGGGCAGGAGTCACTGAGACTCACATCAGGATATCCCATATCCCAGTGGTTAGGGCACCCACATGGGAGGTGGCAGATCCAGGTTTATATCCTTTCCTATTCAATTTGTGATCTACTATAACACCCAGATACTTTTCAACAGTAATACTGCTTAGTTATTACCTATTTTATACCTGTGCATTTCATTTTCTTTCCTCAGTATAGTTCTTTGCATTTTCCTTTATTCAATTTCATTGTGTTGATATCAGACCAATTGTCTAATTTGCCATGGTTGTTTTGAATTCTAATCCTGTCCTCCAAAGTGCTTGCAATCAGCTTGATGTTATCTACAAATTTTATAATACTCTGGACTCCATTATCTAAGTCATTAATTAAAATATCAAGTACTACCAGACCCAGGACTGAGCCCTGCAGGACTCCAGTGATACACCCTTCCAGTTTTGTAGTGAACCATTGATAACTACACTTTGAGTATGGTCTTTCAACCAGTTGTGCACCCACTTTACAGTAATTTCATCTAAACCACATTTTCCTAGTTTGCTTATGAGCATGTCATGTGGGACTGTATCAAAAGCCTCACTAAAATCAACATATATAATATTTACTGCTTCCTCCCATCCACTAGGCCAGTAACCCTGTCAAAGAAGGAAATTAGGTTGGTTTATCATTATTTGTTCTTGACAAATCCATGCTGGCTATTTCTTATAACCCTATTATCCTCTAGGTGCTTATAAATTGTGTAATAATTTTTTGTTCCAATAATCAAATAATTTGTTGTTCCAGGTATCAAAGTTAGGCTGACTGGCCTATAATTCTTCAAGTCCTCTCCCCCTCTCCCCCATTTTTAAAGCTATATACTATTTTTGCCCTTCTCCAGTCCTCGGGGATCTCAGTCATGATCAGTAAGTTCTCGAAGATATTGCTAATGGTTCCAAGGTTGCTTCAGATAGTTCCTTAAGTACGATAGGATGGATTTCCTCAGGCCCTACTGACCCGAGTAAATTTACCTTATCTAAATATTGTTTATTCTGTTCTTTCCCTATTATCAATTGTGTTCCTTCCCCCTTGTTGTTAATATTGTGTAGAGTATAACCTTTTTAGTGAATATTGAAAC